ACGGGGGGTGGGGGCCACGGGGGGTGGGGGCCACGGGGGGTGGGGGCGGGGCCGAGCCGGCCACGGGGGCCACGGGGGGGGGGTCCCGGCGCTGGAGCAGCCCGAGGCCGGCTCTGACCCGGGCCGGGGGCGGGCAGGGGTCCACACCCTCCAGCGCACGTACGGCTGCGAGGTCTCCTCCAAGCTCACCTTCCAGCGCGGGTTTCAACAAGACGCCTACGACGGACGCGACTACATCGCGCTGGACACGGAGACCTCCACGTGGACGGCGGCGGTGCCGGAGGCTGTGAACACCAAGCGTGAGTGGGAGGCTAACACGACCATGGCGGAGAGACGGAAAGCCTACCTGGAGGAGGAGTGCGTGCTGTGGCTGAAGAAGTACCTGGAGATGGGGAAGGAGACGCTGCAGAGGCCAGGTACCCCCGCCCCCCCGCAGTGTGCGCGGCACTCAAGGCCCCCGCTCCCCTTCTCCCCGTCCCCTGCAGCCCCAGGCACCCCTTGCACCCCAGACCCTACCCGTCCTTGTGTCCCTGGAGGGGAGAGGGGAAGGGAGAGCCTGGAAATGCCACTGACCTTTGCCTCCAGACCCGCCCTCCGCCCGAGTGACCCGCCACACTGCCCCCCACGGGGAGGTGACCCTGCGGTGCCGGGCCCAGGACTTCTACCCCGCTGACATCTCCCTGACCTGGCTGCGGGATGGAGAGGAGCGGGTCCAGGACGTGGAGTTCATTGAGACCAGGCCCGCGGGAGACGGGACCTTCCAGAAGTGGGCAGGTGTGGACGTGACCTCGGGCCAGGAAGAGAAGTATACCTGCCGAGTGCAGCACGAAGGACTGCCTAAGCCCCTCACCCTGAAGTGGGGTAAGGACAGCGAGGAGGGGCAGGGAAAGGTCATCCCCCAGACCCCAAAAGACCAGAGGGAGGTGGGGTGACGGGGGAGGTGGGGGAGGGGTTGGTGACTCCGAGGCCCCAGAGGGATCAGGTCTCTCACTGCCCTTTTCCATTTCAGAGCCAGAGTCCTCATCCACCTGGTTCATTGTGGGGGTCATTGGTGCTGTCCTCATCATCATCATCATTGCTGGACTTGCGATCTGGAGGATAAAGACTTTAAGGAGGGGGTCTTAGGGAGCAGGTACCATGGAGATCCTGGCTTCCCCTGACTCACAGCTTGTCTTTCTGTCCCCATCTTCTCTTTCCCACCCAAGGGACTGTCAGATGGGTCCTAAGACTCTAGATAAAGAAATAGAAACCGTTTATCTGGAGGATGCCAGGCAGGGGTGTAACAGGCTGGCCTAGTGGGGCATCTGCTTCAGACTCAGAGCAGCAGTGAATATGGGGATCCCTGCCAGAGGGCCTGGGTGTCCCCCAAGCCGGGGGCTGTAGACCAGCCTTGGGAACCCCTGGAGGTGGGCCTGAAGGTGAGGAAGTGCCCATTTGGGGGGCCTCTTCTCTCTTCCTCTTGGATCCAGAGGCTGGACTGGAGTGGGGGATGGGATTGCAGTCCCAGTTGTAATTTGTGTCTCCAAGACAAACCAGTGAACTCCTGAGACCTTAGTGTGGTCTCTCCTGGGTTCCTCACTGGAAATTTTTTTCTTTTCCAGGTAGAAAAGGAGGGGTCTATGTTCCTGCTTCAGGTAAGTGAAGAGTGGACATGGAGGGTAGAAAGATTGGCCCAGACCATGATATCTCTGGAATCTGAGCAATGGGAAGGCAGACGAGAGGCTTAGTCCAGTAGCCTTGCCTTGGTGTTCCCTTCCCTTCCCATACCACGGTTCTGGAATGTATGTCCCTGACTGGGTCGTTTCCCTCCTTTGTCTCCAGGCAATGACAGTGCACAGGGATCAGATGTCTCTCTCCCGGCCAAAGGCGAGACTCTGGGGGCCTGGAAGGAGAGAGGGGCTGGGGTAAAGGGGGCCAAGCACAGAGGAGGGTGGGTGAGAGGTTGGGCTGAGGACTGGATGGGTGGTGAGGCAGGTCCTTCAGAATGATGAGAGGCTGGAGGCAGAGGGGACTTGGAGGGTCTCCCTGAGTCTGTCTTTCCTTCTTCAGCTTGAGAGAATTGTCTGGTATGGACCTGGTATGGACCTGAGGAAGAAAACCAGTCTCCAGTGCCTGTGTTGTTCCTGTGGACCCCTGGCTTCTCTCCCCAGCATGGCCCCTGGGATCCTCCCTGGATTCTACTGGCCCAAGCCCAGGGAAGCATCATAGGGCCTTCACCCTGTTCTCCAAGGCCTCCTTCCCCCACCTTCTTTCTTTCTGCCTGTCTCACTCTGTAGAGACAACCAGCAGTGAGGGCCAGAGGGCTTTGGGAGGGGAACCTTCCTTCACACATGATGTTGCACTGACCTCTGGGAGCTTTTTCTGACTGCAAAAACAGCCCAATGAATTATTGCCCTTGAAATTTCAGCTTTTCTCCCCAATCTCAGCTAAGCTTCACATTTGGGTGGGGGATTTTGGGGGACAGAATGACAATGTGGAGATGTTCTGGCCATATGATGGGAAAATAAAGGAAAGGTTGGAGACCTCTGAGAATCCTTTTATTTGCTCTGCTGAGTCTGTGAGTGCAGGTGGGGGCTGGGGGGGCCAAGAGGGGAAGGAGCCTGGGGGAGGGCCGGCGGATGGTACGTGGTGAGGGTGCAGATGCTTGTCTTTGCTTTGTACTGCTCCGGCGCACTTGTGGACATGGTGTATTGGGACTTGTTCCGGGCTTCTCCTCCTGGAAGTGGAATGATGCAGAGTGTTGGCCCATAGGCGGCCCCTCAGCACGGTCTTTCAGGGAGTTCCAGTTCTCTCTATTTTGTTGCCATTTTCCTCCCCCCTTGTGTGTCTGTATCCCTGCTTTTCTTTCATTGCAGGGGCCTCCCTAAGGGCTGCTGTGGCCTCTACTCTGGGCCCATTCCAGGACCCTGGGGCTCCATCTCTGTTGGTGATGGCCACTGCAGGGAGTGACCGCCTGGTCCACTTTTCAGACTGTCCCAGAGTAGGGGCTCTTCACCTCTGAGGAAGAGAAGGGTTTCCCTTTGGAGTTAGTGCAGGAGGGACTATCTAGTTTCTAAATAGAAAGAAGTCCCTGCCCCCCTCTCTGCTCCCTGGAGTCCCTGCCCTATACATGGTTAGAGCCAGTTGATCGATCTCCACCTGTATCTCCCCTCCTCCCCCGCTCTTCCTTCCCCTTTGGAATGATCCACGCTGCCGGGAACATTCACCTTTCCCTCTTTTGTTCTGCCGTAGTATTTCTTTCCCCAAAAGACCAATGTTTTAATTATTTATGTTTCTCTCCCATCTTGTAATCACCATCTCAGCTTAGCTCAGACCATTGTTTTTCCTCATCGGAGGCCACCCAAGTTTTGCTTCCTTGTTCTACAATCCCTGGTGTGGACGTTTCCATTACCATTATAATTGATCTAAGGAAGGCAGTCACACAGTGGTGGAAGCGGCAGAGACTTGGGCCCTACTGCCTCCTCGCTGATAGGCAGTAATTAAGAGAAAACATTTGCTACAAATATGTCGGGTCAGATCCTGTGCCACGTTGGACACGTGTTGCTCATACCACACTCTAACTGGCTAGGATATAGTTTTTACAACAGAAGGTTCCAGGCCTCTCTCTGGGCCTCTTCATGTAAGAAGGCCAGGGATTCTGTGATAATAAGTGGGTGGATGATCTCCCCTGGGCTGTAAGCCATCTTATCCCATGGCCAGACAGGATTTGGGGACCCTGGGGTTGAAGTAAGGAAGGAGCTTCGAGGGAGTGGAGCCATCTTCTTCTTCCTCTTGCCTTGGTCATCCCGTTGTGGAGGGTTGTACATGGAGGACTTGTCTTTTCTCACTAGACTTCCTGTCCCCACGTGGCTTACAAGCAGCTGGACAAAAATACTGCTTTTATATCTCTGATGAATCACTGGAATATGAAACATCTCTCACAGAACTGGAGTTGCTTTTCTGACCCTGGTCTCCAAGCTCTGTGACCCCCAGAGTCCAGCCTTCCAAATCCCCCTCTTAACCATTACAGGTGTCCGTAAGCAGGAGGGGCTGCTGTATCTTTAGTCCATCCTCTCTCTTTCCCAAGGTGGGAAATCATTGTTGGTCTTTGGGAATTGTGAGTGGTCATTGCATTGATCAGAATTTTTAAGACTTCCAAAATTGCATTACAAATACTCAGATTGACTACAAAGGACCTGTGAAGGAAGAGGCTATATGCATCCAGAGAAGAACTGGCAAATAGAAGTTTGTAGAGAAGGATTTCTCACACACACACACACACACACACACACACACACACACACACACACAC